ACCTTCTGGAAAGAATTATCTATGGAATAAAACAGAGAAAGGCACAACAACAAATAACAGGATGGAAAATGGAGCCATACTACAGATCTCACAGATGATAAAAAGAAAACTGCCATTTTCCAGCCCATAGTGAAACAACTTATCCAAGCAAAGATTATTTGTGACCACTAAAATCATTAGAAGAACTGCTGGTGAGGAACTTTTTCATATGAAAGAATCAAACACCTGAGACCACTGTTTAATATTAACACCTCTAAACCAGGACAACCAGACATTGTTTCCTGAAGTTTTGCAATAAGTACACAACACAACATACAAGTACTGAAAACAGAATCAAACCAGAACCTAACCAAGTCTCCAAGTGTAATATTCAGTTTGTAGGAAAGATAGAGAACAAATTATACCATAAGAATAATGACTACCAAATCCAGAATGTGGAAAATTCTACAGGACTAATGACTCCTTCAACAAATAAATGGTGTAGGGGAAGATGGAAGAAACAACCATTAAAGATTAAAAGAGATTTAAGATCAAAAGGGGATAAAACTGTAAACTAAAGAAACTTAAGAGACGCATCTACCTAATGAAATGTGTGGACCTTATTTAGATCATGATTCAAACAAGTCAACCATAAAATGGCATTTTTGAGATCATCAGGGAAAACTGCACTCACTCACAAAGGAGACTGGAAGGCATTACTGTTAATTTTGGTGACTGTGATAATGGCACTGCAGTTAGACTTGTTTTAAGTCCTTAACTGGATATAACATGGTGTTTCGGGTTTCCTTCAAAAGACACCAGCAAAAAAAGCACAAAACCTCTATAGAGAAAATGATCAGGTTTTATTGAGACATTAAAGAAAGCCTACATGAATAGATAGATATACCACATTTATAGATTGGGAGCTAAGTATTACACAGAGTGCAATATTCAGCAAAACCAACTGATTCAATGCAAACCTAATCAAAATCCTAAGAAGTACTCTGTTTTGTTTTATTTTGTTAGAATTTGATGAGCTGGATTTAAAATCTATATAGGAACTCAACACAAATAACTAGTAATGTCAAAGAGGAAAAACTAGGTGGGAAAACTTACTCTATCAAAAATCAAAACTTACCATAAATGTGCAGGAATCAAGACGGTATGATACTGGCTGAGAGGGAAACAACCAACACTGGGAAAGAGGAGGTTCTGACAAAGATGGTTCATAAACAGAGACTGCATCCTAACAGACGTGGTTCTCCAGAATGCGGGAAAGGATAGACTGGATAGATAGTACTGTGACAAGTAGGAAAATGAAGCTGGACCCACCTTTTGAATGATAAACAAAAATTGTTTTCAGACAGATTAAGGAATTAAATGTGGAAGAACAAAACTAATACCTTTAAAGCAATAAGAAGACCAGAAAAGGGCTACAGAATACTTACCAAAATGTGCAAGGCCTTGGATTCAATCCTCAGCACAAAAAAGAAACCAAACAGGCAAAATCAGCAAAAGCACTCCAAAATGAAACTGTTGGCAAATTTAATTACATTAAAATGAATACTTCTGGTCACTAAGAGAATATTGTAAAGAGAATTAAAACACAAGGCACTGAACAAGGAAAGAGGATTATCAAACATTACTAATGAGATTTAAAATGTATACAGAAATCCTACAATTAAGAAAGACAATCCGTTCTCTCCCTTCCCCTCCAGCAAAGATCTCAATAAGCACTTGACAAAAAAAAGAGATGTCCAACAGACATCACAAACTCAAACTCAGAGTAAGGACAACACAAATCCAAGTCACAAAGTGATAAGCTATACTCACTACCAAACTACTGTACTAGCTAAAATTTAAAAGTCTGACATACCAATTGGCAGATAGAATATAGGGCAAAGGTAGGGGTGCAAAGTGTTCCAACCACTTTGGAAAAACTGACATCATTCACTCAAGCAGAAGATGCGCATAGGCCATTAGACAGTAATCTTTCCTGAGTCTGTGCGCTTCAGAAATGCTTACTTACCGGCATATAGGATTGTTCACAGCAAAACTGTTCCTAATAGTAAAAAACCTCAAACCTCTCTGATAGCAGTGAATGGATAAACTTCAGCATATTCCAAGAACATTGTGACAAAAGGAAGAAACTCAAGCTATATACAAAATCCACAAATTAATGACTCTTGTATCATTTCACAAATTTCAAATTTAGGAAAAAAAATAGGTTATATGGAGGTAGATGCTCAGGTACTAAAACTAGACATAAAATTAAGATATGATAAACATAAAAATCAAGATGGTGGTTATTGCTTGACAGGAAGGACACAGTTATCAGGATGGGGTGGGTGCCCAGGGTGCTGGTAATATACAGCTGTTTCTCTTGAGCCCAAGACTATGTGGGGACTTGCTTCATAAGCATTTCTTAGAGTCTGTATCTATGGTTTATCTGACTTTCTATGTGTTACACTGCACAATAAAAGAAATTTTAAAGTTTTTAAAAAGAGATTTTTTTTAAACCCATCTGGTAATCTCAAGATTTAAAAGAAGCATTATAAAATTCAGACTTCACTAATGATCTAAAAAACTTAGTAAACAAAGTTTATTATACAAAACAAATGACCTGTACTTTTCAAAAATGTAAGTTTCATGAGACGTAAAGAAACGCTGAGCTTAATGGATACTAAAGAACTACAAAAATTAAATGTAAAAATGGTGCTGGGTTAAGATTCTGAAGCTAAAAAACAGATAAACAGACAAAAAAATAATTATAATTAATAATAATAATAATAGTACAAATGGCAAAGTTTTATTAAAACCTACATGTTAAATAACAGTATTATGTCAGCTAAATGTCTTGACTATTGTAAAATTGAATGGCAAATGTCCTTGTTCTTAGAGACAGGCACACTGAAGCAACTGAGGAAACACAACTTATTCCCCAATGGCTCAGATAAAAACAATGTAAAATTAAATAAAAAGAGAATGATCAAGGTAAAAGGGCAAAATCTGAGTCAAGGACATGTAAGAATTTTTTCTACCATTACTGAAACTTTTTCTGTGTGAAATTATTTAAAAATTTTTTAAAATAATCTCTTAGCAAAAAAGAAACATAAACTTTCTTAAGCTGACAACAAGTTACCAAAAATATAAAATAAGGAGATAAAACTCATTTGTCACAAACATTATTGAAGTACACAGAAACCCAAAAGAATCCACAGGAAATACAGTAAAATTAGCATGACCTTAGCATAACTAATACGACAAAATAAAAATTTTGTTATCATATATCAACAATTATAAAGTTAAAAAAATGATAGAATTTACATTAGCATGAAAAAGTAAACTTAACAAGATACAGGTCTTAACCACAGAAAACTATGTACTATAGTTTCATAGTTATTTGTGTGTGTAAATGGGTATACATGTATATACACAAATATGAGCACACATACACACACAGACATTGGAGAAGATCTTAAAAAGACAGGAGGATTTAATACTAAATATTGCAAAGAGGTCAATAGTTTACAAACTGACTTACACATGCAATACAATTCAAATGAAAATCTCAACAGGGTTTTTTTTCCAGAAATTGATAAACTGGTGCTAAAAAGTGTTTGGAAATGCAAAGAGCCAATAAAAGCCAAGATAATCCTGAGGAAAAGCAAAGTGAGTGGGCTTACTGTCCATGAGGCCAAGTATTTGATGACAAAGTTACAGTGATAAAGACAGTGCAGTGCAGTGACAGAAGAAAGACCAAGGAGCAGAGTATAGAGTCCAGATGTGGACATGTGACATAAGACAAAGGAGGTAGTGCAGAACACAGACAAAAGACATTAATTTTAATAAATAGTGCTGGGTCCACTGAATTCCATGTGGAAGGATGCAAAACCTGGTCCCTACCTCACACCATACACAAACAAAAACAGTGATTCCAGGTGGACCATAGATCCAAATGTGAAAAAAGCTTCCAGAAAACAATGTAAGAGAATTTCTGGTGGTATTGAGGGAGGCAAACATTTCTTTCACATGACATGAAAAACACAAACCACAAAAGAAAAAGTGAACTAGATTTAAATTAAGAATGAGTACCATCATTTCCTAACTGTACAATGGGGAGGACAATGGGACTTAGCCAGTAACATGGTTGTGAGCTTTCTATGATTTAAGAGATGTGAACAGCCTCACTTATGCTTGCCGTAGAATATAACTTTTAAGAAGTAAAAGTGAGTGGGAGGTAAGAACAGAGTCCAGGAGAGTCATCTAGTCTCTGCAGAAGAGTGGTGTAGTAGGGAAGATACAGGTAGGATGGAGTCTAGAGTGAGAAATGAGCCAGTGTTTGTAAGTGGGAGGAAAGGGCAAGTGCAGGGCGAGGACACAGAGACCAAAAGCACTCCTGAGGGAGGGGAGAGGGCAGGGTCTGAAGGCCTGTCCAGGGCAGAGCAAAAGGACAGAGAGGGGAGGCCTGGAGGCTTTCAGATTTAGGGAAGCTTGGGGACAAGTTTGCATGTTTTAGTTTCTGTTTTCTTCAGGAAATAAAACCAAGGTCAAGTGCTGAAAACAAGATCGTTTGAACTAGAGTTAAATTATAAGGAGTGACAGTGGAACACAGCAGGACAGTTGCCACTGAAGCCCCAGAAGCACAATGTAGCCAAAAGCTGAGTTGTAAAGCCAACACTCCAATGGGCACTTGTCTGCACCTCTCCATGCAACAGAACCTTTTAACTTTCTGAGTATATATGTGACAGAACCCCCTCAGCAAGCCTAATCATTCAGACCCCATTAAATTTCATCACCATTCTCTTCTTGGCTGATTAGGTGGTCAATACAACAGTAACAAAAATAATGGGAAGCCCTAATAAAATGGTGCCATCCAAACAGAATTCTGGCTTCCTGGAGTCAGACTGCATCCCACCTCATTCATGAGTCTCCCTGAAGCTGTCAGAAAGAAAGGGTCATAAGCATCAGTGTAACCCAAACACAGCAGAAGGCTGGATGTGTGAAGGACAGCAGCTTACCGGTTGAAGACATTATCGCTGAACGCGTACTTTTCCAGGCGGGTGAGTGGAGGCAGATTATCCTGACCTGGAATGTCCAAGAAGGCCATTACCCTCCTGCTGTCACAATCTGGGCTGCAGTCTTCAAATCCATCTAGTGGGAAGAGGAAATGCTTTAAAATCACATACCTAACTGCAAAGCAACTGTGACGGGCCACACAGGCAAAGCTGTGGCCTTGTGGCATGCCTTTTGCCTTCTCGGCCCTCTTCTACAAGCATCTCTAAAACTACCACATTGAGAAGTCATCTAAAGTAAAGTGGACAGCTGTATAAGCCCACAAGGAAGGCGGGAAGGAGCAGAGGGTTCCAGAACAGCTGGCTGCCTCTCGTTCAGTGCCATTTGTCCAATGTGGGCGTTGCCTCTGATCAGCACCCTCGGGAACCACTCCTCTACTGGGGACTCAGAAGCAGGGAACAAGGAGGCTCACCCCTATGAAAAACAGCCAGGCGGTTCTGTTCCAACGTGCTGACCAGTCAGACGAGAAACAATGAGGTCTCGTCCTGCTAGCAGGAATCTGACAGAGGATTCGCTCCCATCCCGTCTGCCCTCAGGCACTCACCAGCTTCACCATTTCCCATCCAAGTGCACCTCTGGCCTGGCAGCACCTTGCTGGCCCTTCCCTGGGTATGCCCAATAGGTCTCTCTGGATGAGAAAAGTGTCCTGGTTAAGAAGCCAAGACCCCTTCCCAAAGCAAAATCAGGAGGCTGAGCTCACAGGCTCAGGTGCCTAATGCACCCAGAATGTAATGGGATGCATCCCACAACTGCTACTAAGTGTAGCTGAGTGGCCAGAACAAGTCACTTACCTGTCTACACTTTCACACGCTCACTCGAGGGATGGCGATAAAACCCCACCCTTGCCTCAGGATGGTGGTACACACTGGGTTTGTGCATGTGGGATATGCCACCACCCCCATGATCTGGCCACCCCTGGCCACTGGTCACCACCCTTTATACACCCCACGCTTTGGTCTGTTGGAACTGCAAGAGGCCCTCACACCTGAGACTTCCTGCAGAACTTGTTCCTCATCTTCTCTCTCCTTTTGGCTTTAGGTCTCAGCGAGGGTGCAGCATCACTAGAAAGCCTTCCCTGTCCATTCTCCTTCCACCTCAAGTGTTCCAATGGTGGCAATGTGGCTGACGTCTGGCTATGCCACAGCTTGCTGTGATGGGCAGTAAGTCCTTCTGTGACAGGTGTTTCCACAGGTGACTGCACCTGGTTGCTACTGGATTCTCCAAGCTTGGTATGATGCCTGGAGCACAGTAGGTCCTCACTAAAGATCATGCCGTTCACCAAGGAAGCTTTTAACCAACCACCAAAGTCATGCCACCTTTCCATCCACTCTATAAGACACTGACTACTCCCAGGACACACTAAACACTTGTTACCAAAAGGCTACTCTCTAGGAATGAGAGTCAGAAGAGGAGCCGTTGGGACAGTCATAATAAAATAATGGCTATATCTTTTGAGGACCAGCAAAGAGGACCTGCCAGAAGCAGGAAAGTGCCTCCACAGTTATGACTCCATTTCCTCATCAACTCACCAAGGAAAGACCATTCTTACCTCCTTTTACAGCTGAGCAAACCAACACTTAAAGAGGTCAAGTGACTCCCTCAGCCAGCCATCTAACTCATCCTCACAGAACTAGGCTTGTACAGCTGTTCCTGCAGAAGGGAACGGGTGTCTGTGCTCCCAAACCTGTTTACCCAGCAGTCTTCTTTACTCTGATCAAGTAACTCGGTGACATATTGTGCAAATAAATGACATGTGACTGTCAAAACAAAACTGTATTCCTGAACAGGAGCTTCAACTCTTCAGAAAGATTCAACAAAAATACATTACTAAAATGTAGCCATCAAATTAGGTATGGGTAATACAAGTGGAAAATAGTGTAAACATGAGGATTTCCATACATGTTTTTAGCACAAATCTCACTCCATATAACCCTGAGCCAGGAAGTACAGATGAGGCCTTCCTGGCCTGTTCTACAGGAAAAGAAGGTCCAGTGCCTGGAGCAGGCCTTGGCTTAGATCATGACAATCACCTATGAACACATATTTCATGCATATTAAAAAAATATGGCCACCTCATTTCTAAGAATCTCTGCTCTAGCCAATCTGTCCTCTTAAGCAGACATGCCCTCATTCCATTCCTGCTACAGAAAGGAAAGGGGATATCTTTAAAAGATACAGCAGGTAGGGAACAGCCTAGATTGGAAATCCAAGTATCAAGAGGACTCTCACTGTTTCAAAGAGCCTGTTGAAGTTTTGCACAATAAAGAGAACCAGACAGACATAGCAGAGCCCTCCATGTCCAAGCTCCCTCCACCAAACCTGTCTGTTTTTGACCTGAAAGAATAAACAGGCTGCCAAAGACCTCCTGGAGGCTAGATTCAGCAAGAGAACTGCCTCCCTACTCAGTTCCGGGAAGATCAATGGGCACCTGCTATTGAGGTGTAAATGTAACCTGCCATTCCTTGGACTGAAAATTAGATAGCTGCTTCAGTAGTGCTATTGGTGTGAAAAAGCAGGGGGTCTCACCTGGCAAACCAGAAAACCATGGGCAATTTAGGCAGTAGTGAATGACAGTTTCAAATAGAGAGGACAAGCTGGTGCCAAGGTACTCACTTTTCTCTGAAACAATAACCACATTTTCTCATCTAATTATTTTAAGCTAGTAATGAGAGCTTATTAAAAACTTATACACATAACAGTTACCAGAGAACTGTATAAGGATTACACGTTTGTAGAAAAAATATGTCTGACATCATCACAAGATGTTGTTTCTCTGCAGGATTGCTACCTCTGTGAATGAGTCCACTCAGGGTCACAGCCAAGGCCAGAAACCATGTGGCATGAGTGTGTAGTAGTACCTATCCCTAGGGGCCCACAGGTAAGTACAGAGCTCCCAGTCCCAGCCTGCAGCAGATTTGAAGAGCAGCTGAGTGCAATGCAGCGGCTCCCATCTCCAGGGCCCACGGGTGGCTTTGGAACTGGCAGAGACCCACACGCAGGCACACACAAAGCCTCTCAAGAGCGGGTGCTTCCAAAAGCCCCAGGCCCATGGGCTTCCTGAGGAAAGAACTAACTTGCTGGTTTTTAATACACAGAAACTCTGCAAGACACACTGTTTAAAGAGATAACTAAAGACCGTGGCAATTAGTCCCACAGAAGAGTACTTGTTATTACAGAGTATTAATGGTCCTGCTATACCAGCTATATAAAACAAGGAAACAAAAGCTACGAGCCATAAAATATGGGATAACAATTAGCCCATATTGGTTACTTCCTACAAGCTGGGAACTAGGCTAAGAGCTTTTTGTGTAGCATTAGTTTGTTAAATCTTGACATCAACCATATTATTCCATTGTTTCTGTTAAGAAAACTGAAGGTCAGAGAGGTTAAGAAAGTTGCTGAATGTGGCACAGCTACAAAGTTGCAGAGTCAGAATCTAAACTCAAGCAGCTAGACTGCAGACATTGCCTTGTGCTATACTGGCCCTCACAGATTACACAACTGGAAAACCAGGAACAAAGAAGCCCAGACAACAAGTAGCACAAGTATGATTCCTCAGAGAAGGGAGAGAAACAAGGAGAGGACTGGGAATGCAGCAGCTCCCACCCAGAGGCAGTGTTCACTAAGAGGCCACAGGCTGAGGAAGCCTAGGAACAAGAGAGAAGAGGGGCAGAGATGGGAGAAGGGTTCTCTTGGAGCTTAGCTGAGCACTCTTTTCTGCACATGTGAGAAAAAAATACCCAAGGCTGGGGAAGGACCCAGCAATCATTCCCATCACCAATGTGCAGTGAGCAATAGTCCTGTTCCCATTAGCCAAAGAGGGCCCTGGTGCCACAAGGTACATGGAGTACAAACTTCAAGGAGGGTTCTATGGCTGGGCACTGGTGGCTCATGCCTGCAATCCTACCTACTTGAGAGGCTGAAATCATGAGGACTGAGGTTTGAGGCCAGTCCAGGCAAATAGTTCTCGAGACCCTATCTCCAAAATAACCAGAGCAAAAGGGGAACTGGAGGTGTGGCTCAAGCAGTAGAGCACCTGCTCTGCAAGCGAGCATGAAGCCCTGAGTTCAAACCCCAGTTCCACAAAAAAGGGGCGGGGAGCTCTGGGTGAGAAGCAGAGCTAAATCAATGCAAACTTCAGCCTTCTCCAGACCTGCCCCTAGTAGGGAACTAAAATGAGTCCCGAGGGAATCCAAAAGTATGTTCCTAATAACACTTGACACTACCAGGCTACATAACAAAACCTAACAACTTGACCACCACAGGATTCTTTTTTTTTTTCTTTTATTATTCATATGTCATACAATGCTTGGGTCATTTCTCCCCCCTGCCCCCACCCCCTCCCTTACCACCCACTCCGCCCCCTCCCTCTCCCCCCACCCCCTCAATACCCAGCAGAAACTATTTTGCCCTTATTTCTAATTTTGCTGTAGAGAGAGTATAAGCAATAAGAGGAAGGAACAAGGGTTTTTGCTGGTTGACATAAGGATAGCTATACAAGGGCATTGACAGGATTCTTAATGTCGGCCACACATGAAGAGAAGTCAAACATTGTGACCACAACCGGGAAAAGTGAGCAGAGAGGAGGTCCCCAAAGGTTAGAAGTGAGGAATACACCAACTAAAAGAAACAAAGTTAATGAGAGAGAGAGAGAGAGAGAGAGAACAAACATTCCATCTACTCCAAGAAAAAAAAAGGTCAAGGAAAGAGACAGAAACAGAAATAAGACCTAAGCATACATCTGAGTGATTAGAAACAGTGTTATCAAAAATTAAACTAAAAGAAATTAATAGACTAGGCAACTAAAAAAAATTGGAGAACTCAAAGATATACAATAGAGTGATTCACATATATAATCCCAGCTATGGGGGAGGCTAAATCGGGAGGACTGCCTTTCAAGGCCAGCCTGGGTCAAAAAAGTTCACAAGACCCCATCTCAACCAACAGCTGGGTATAGTGCTATGGTGTACAACCATCAGCCCAACTTTACAGGAGGCTGAGATTGAGGTGTCAGCATGGTGGGGGTGGTGTAGCTCACAAGACTCCATCTTAACAGAAAAAGCTGGGCATGGTGGCATGTGCTGTCATCCTGGCTACTGTGGGAAGCAAAACCAGGAGGATTGAGATCCAGGTCAGCCCAAGCAAAAAGTGAGACCCTATCTCCAAAATAACCAGAGCAAAAAGGGCTGAGCCACAGCCCAAATGGTAGAGTACTTGCCAAAATTGCAAGCACAAAGTCCTGAGTTCAAATACTAGTACTGTCAAAAAAAAAATCTCTTTAAAAGATAACTGAGTATTAAAGCAAAAATAATGATTATGAATGGATGGGTTATAGCATATGTAGAAGTCAAACAGTAGTAAGGCAAGAAAACAAAATAAAAAGCACACAGAACTAGAAAGGAAAAAGCAAAACTGTCTTTCTTCACAAACATGACTGTCTATGCAGAAGATCCTAATAAAATTACAAAGAAGCAACTAGACCCAAAGAGTTCCCAAGACTGCAAAATACCCAAAGCAAGTGCATACTAGCACGACACAATTAGATTTTGAAATTTTTAAAATATCATTTATCGTGGCATCAAAAAGATGAAATTTTTAGAGATAAATTTAACAAAATATGTGCAAATAATATCACAAGAAACACGTTAAAAGAATTTGTTTAGTTATGCCACTTTCATACATCAGAAGACTCAATGTTGTTCCAAGATCAACATTTCTCAAATTTATCTAAAGTCCACTGCCGGCCATCTTGCTTTCCATTGGGTTGTAGCTGATGCCGGAGGCTGTATGAGGAGGTGGGGGAGGGGGAGAACAGTGCTGGGAGAAGGGAAGAGATCGAAACCTGATGCTACTTTGCAACCCAGCCTTGTCGGGGTCTGGAGCCAGCACCCAGCTGTCTCTGCACTAGTGTTAGGAGCTGTGGAAAATCCACCCAGATCCAGCAGCCCTAAGCAGACGTGCCTGTTCCTGCTGGAGGTAAGCGGGAGAAACCAGGAGGGCTCCCACGCCGCCAGACGCCAGCGTCCAGACCTCTTGGGAAGACGCAGACTATAAGGTGAGCTAAGTGGCACATGGTACTCCCACAGACAACCCTGGGCCAGATCAGCATAGCCCCCTGGACAGACCGACCCCCACCCGGGGAAAAAAGAGAAACTGAGTAATAAGCAATAAGAACAATAAAGAGCAAAGAGGGAGGGAGGGGAATCCTTCCCAGAACGGTAAATAAACAAGCCGGGCCTGGCCGGAGAGGGCGGGAGCGGCAGCGTGTGCCCAGCAATCAAGGAGCAGGAAAGTTTGTAAAAGTGGCGGTGAGAGGAAAACTCTACAGGAGAGAGGGGAAGACCCACTTCCCACGTGAACTGTAAATAAACACCCCGGCCTGAGAAAGCAGGTGCCGCGTCACCTCCCCCAGTGTGCTTGGAAAGGGGAAAGCCTGTAGCAGTGGCTTTACCCACAGG